TATCATCTTTCCCTTTTCCCTCCCTCCCTCCTTGCCTCCTCTGCTTCCTCCTCCTCGGTTTTTCATTTGCCTTTGTGCTTTCATTGGGGGTAAGTTCACTGCCAGAGGGACTTCTACATTCATCTTGTATTTTCTGTTGTAACCATTTATACTCATACACTAATATCATGATTTTGGCCATGCAAAATATTTGATTTCTGTTCTCAAACACTGTTAAGTCTTCCCCTGAAATGCTGCATTATTTTCTTCTAATTTTGATTCTAATAATAGAAAATCTTTGTTAATTCTACTTTCTGATCATGCTTGGATCCGTATCCATTGACTAGTTTTCATCAGTTGGTGCTTCACTTTTTCTTTCCTCCATAGCTATCTTGTAGATGCATGCCATGTGGTAGTCATTGTCTACAAACAAACCGGAGAAAAGGAAATAGAAAATAACTGATTTACTCATCAAGCTCTGACCTCTATGCTTACATCGGGAAATGAACTGAATGGGGCTGAATTATAATGCTAGTTAGTTTGAATGCCCCACTGAGTTCAGTAGACTTAAGTTATAAAATGCCTCTCCTTCCATTTGGGCTTGGTATGCAATTGCCATTCCCCCTTTTGATTCTGTTATGCTATCCAGTATGGCCACAGGATTTATAAAACACTGAGACTCTCTGCCTTCCCACCTGGACCCAATTGCCCACATGCTACTAAGTACTTGTGTAGGTTCTAGGGTTAAGAATTGGCCCACAAGTAATGACTTGCTTTATCCTTTCTCTTTCAATTGCTGAATCCAGTGTGAGGTCTTTCATCTGATGCAAGGATTTCAGTTTACTATTGACTCCTCAGGTTCCAGAAAGATGTATATTCATATCATTTTATAGCTTACCTTTTTTTAAAAAAAAAAAATAAAAATCTGTTTTGTTTCCTTCCTTCTTCTCTCCCCCTCCCTCTTTTGGTGCTGTCTTAAAGTCAGTCACGTAATATGCTAGACCAAAGCTCTACAGCTGTGGTAAATGCTAAGCCAGAGCTCTACAGCTGTGGGGTATGCTATGCCAGAGTTCTACTAGACTATCTCCCCAGCCATTCTCATGATTTGAAGGCACTATACTTTTAAAATTGTTTTACAGTATATTTCCTGATCATGAAAATACTATCATACAATGCTGGAGAGATGACTCAATGGGTAAGAACACTGGCTGCTCTTCCAGAGGGCCTGATTCAATTTCCAGCACCCACATGGTAGCTCATAACCATCTGCAACTCCAGTTCCAAAAGATCTAACACCTTCTTCTCACCTCTGTGGTATCAGTCACACACATGATGCACAGACACACATGTAGTTAAAATACACACACACACACACACACACACACACACACACACACACACACATATATATATATATATATATATATATATATGTTAAAGCAAAAATAAAAACAACCCAAAATATTACCTCTACAAATGTTTAAGAAAGGCAGAAACAGAAAGTATACTATGAACATAGCTTTTCAACACTGTTCTAGTTTGCTTTCTTGTTGCTGTGATAAAACCACAATCTAAAGCAACTTGTGAAAGAAAGGATTTATTTCAGCCTACACTTCCAGGTAACAAGTTCATCACCGAGGGAAGTCAGGGTAGGGATTCAAGCAGAAGCAGAGGCAAGATCCATGAGGGAAAGTATCTTACTTGCTTGTCCTCTTTGGCTTTCTCAGCTACCTTTCTTATGCAACCTAATCCCACCTACATAAGAATGGAACCACCCACAGTAGACTTTGTCCACTTACATCAATTAGCAATTGGGAAATACCTCTCAGACATCATCATTGTCACAGGCCAGCCTGTGGGTAATTCTTCAATTGAGATACCCCCTTCCTAGGTAACTCTAGCTTTGTGTCAAGTTGACAGGCAACGCTAACTATGACAGGAGTTTATACCATAATTCACTCCAGGAAAATAATTGATATGTACCTGGTTTTCAATAGACACATTTGTCTCATTTCTACTCCTACACTCAATATTCAGTTGCCAAATCCTCCTTTGTTTCTTTGATTGTCCTTTCTTACTCTTCTTTCATGTATATTGCAAATCCTTCATTGAAAGATCCAGGACATCACAGTTGAAATATGTAGTGAAGAAAATCCCTTTCTTCTGTATAATTATTCATCATGGTCAGAAAATGTAGCACCTCCCAGGACCTTATAACTGACCTCTAGCTCCCAGGACTCTCTGATGATGAGATAGCATTGGCATCAGAGCAAATGAGCACCTATTCATTTCATGTAGAATTTTAAAATAGAAAGTTAATGAAAGCTGCACAAAGAAGTGTCATTTCATAGGCTAGCTGTGGAAGTAGTCAAGCTCTTGGAAAAAGGCCCTGGGAGAGAGCAGCAAGAAAACTTAGCAATGTTTCTTGCCAAAGCACAAACAGCCAGTCTCTGGATGCACATTACAGGGCTAAAGATCTCTTGTACAACAAGCAGTAAGGGAAAAACACTCAAAGCATGTGTTCTGAGAAGATAGCTGGAGTCAGAGAGAGTGGATTCCTTTCTTTAAGAATATATGATACCTTTGAGGCCAGAGAGATGGTTCAGCAGGTAAGAGCTCTGGCTACTCTTGCAAAGGAACTGGGTTCAATTTCCAGCATCCATATATGGCTAACATCCATCTATAACTCCAGTTCTAGGGAGTCTGATGTCCCTGGGCATTGGGCATACATATGGTACACATACTTGCAAGCAAAACACTCAGACACTTTAAATAAAAATAAATGAAAAATGAATGAATGAATGAATAATGAAAAATATGTAGTTCCTATCTTGTGCTTTCTCCAGAATCAGTGGACAGTCTTTGTCCTGATCCTTTATTTTTTATTTCAGGAGCTGTTGGAGCAGTGGTGTATGACCACTCTCTGTTGTAGGATAGATTTACATGAAATCCCTTTGTGCAATGCAGCAGGTGACACAGTACTCATGGGTTCACACACACCGCTTGGAGTATGTCACACAAAAGAAAAAAGGATACTAGTGTTTGTCATGGTTACTGATTCATACTAAACCTTTTATTACATGTCATCTATGGAATGGTTGGGATAAGTCATAAATACAAATGTAAGATGAATGCATAATGCATATTTTCTTGTTAACTTAGTATAAATATGTCATCTCTATGAAGAGCATATTTAACATCACTGTGGCTTCGCGTTCTGTTGTAATTTTAGATTTTTGATTGGTAGCTCTTACGATTGAACCCAGGGCCTTACATATGGTAGGTAAGTACTCTTTCACTTAGCTGCATGCCCAGTCCTTTCCATGGTGGGATGAAAACACTCAAGTGCAGATAAACTTAAGTGTTAAAAGAGATATAACTTACATAAACCCACCACAAAAGTCATCACGGAACTGTCATTGTTTATTGTATTCTTATTCCACCTACTTCAAACGCATTGATGAAAAACACTCACTGGTTTAGTACAAGGAGGATCCTATTTTTAACTGCTGTGTCCAATGATAAAACTAAATCACTGTTGACAGCATGGGTTCAACTTTGTTTTTAAATCATGGTTCTAACCAGGGTAGTGACTCCATTTGTCCTCCTCCGTTTAGCCCTTGTTCTCTTGTTAGAAATGCTACTCATGGCTAGCTAGCCAAATGAAAAGTACGGCTTGATTAAGGATCTCCTGTGTCAATAATTTGTGCCTAATGTCTTTAGCTTTCCCATGGGCTGTTGTTGAAAATGGTAAATCTGGTTTAAATGAAACCTGATCCCGTTAATGGTTTAATAGCAGCTGCCACAGGGTTATGGTGTTTTCAACAGATGTCTCTGTTACATTTTATTCCTAAACTTAAGTCTTGGGGTATTCATATAAATCATATAACTAGAGTTGCACATGTTTGAATGAATGTTTTGCCAAATAGTCTATGATAAGATACTTTTCTGTCAATTTAAACCTATGTACATATGATTTTTGTAAAGAAAATTTGGTATACCATATTTTTAAATAAAAATCATTTATATCTTGCAGTCATAATTTTTTTTATGGTGAGCAATGCACTTTATATCTACACCTAAGAACATGGGTTGGCCAGCATGAGCACCCATCCATCATTACCTATTGCTGTTTGTTTGGTTCCAATAGTGTCTCTTAGGATGAACAGTAGTCAGAAATCTGTATGGACTCTGTTTCCTATTTCTCACAACTATAATGAATGGGGTTAGCATTTCTGGAGTGTGATAATTTATTCAACTGCTTTTACAGACAGGATTTGGTCTGTCCAAAGCACTTGAGCTTGGTACCCAGATGATCCAAAAGATATGAAATAGGGATGTGACATCATGATTGTGATGGGAGACAGAAATAGTTATGTTATTAGCCTGTTTCTGATCTATGAACAGAATTCTTCAGGCATGGTCATTTAAAATAGAGTAGTTCTGTGGGTTTGTGGTTCTGCAGGCCAGGAAATTCAAGAGTATGGTGACATCTGGTGTAAGCTTTCTTACTGTGTCACATTATGGTGGAGAATCCTGTGGAAAGGGCAATAACTGGTTTAAATCTGTTGTTCCCTTTTAACAAAGGTACTGGTACTGTCCTGAAGGCTCTACCCTCATGACATCATCTAATCCTATCTCCTCAATGCTCTGTCTCCACACACCATGAACACATGAATTAATAGATGAGGCTTGTAGCACAAGTATGTTACTGTATTTAATTCAACCTTCAGCAACAGCAGATATAACTCAAACCAACAGGAATGAAAATGTAGGGTAGGTAGTGTGCTAATTGCAATGTTACAAGCTTGATTCCTAAAACTTTTAAAATGGAGTCTCTGGCAGAGCCACACTTAAATGGTTGTATGGCTGCTAACTTATTTGAAGCTAGGAGGCCTATTTGTAAATTCATCCAAGTATTCAAAGACAACAGGACAATTACAGAACACGTTTGCTCTTAAGTCTGAACTGTCTGTGGGTATTTCTGTAATGATGTCCTCCTGTCTTAATATTTTGGCCAGGTACTCCCTCAAAGGAAATCTGTGAGACCTGGCATGTGTTTTTTGTTCGAACTCTTCCTTCTCCATGGAACATGTGCTTACAGTGACCTGGTTGTGGGCTGGACGGCATTTCCCATATGTGATAACAACTTCCGGATAGTGGAGGGAAAATTCAAGTGTCCCCTTCTCCGAGGAAATTATGACCAGAAACTGGACAGCTTCAGGAAAATTGAAGATTTGATTTGCCAAGATTTGGACCGGTGGCTGTGCAATCTGTATTTTCAGGTTTGCAATATGATCATCATATTTATTAATTTCTTGAGACTGGATTTGCCACTCGTAGCCCAGGCTGTTCTCAAACTCTTGATCCTCATATCTCATCCTTTTGAAAGCTACATAGCTGGAATTATAGGTGCGCAATATGAGTTTATAATTGGAAAATAACTTGGAGTGTTTTCCAAAGAAACTTCTGCCTAATCACTAGCTTTCTTTCTTATAATTGCAAAATTTACTAAAGTTTCTTTAAAAAGGTAAAAGTAATTACACAAGATAACTGGTTTCTGATCATGCACATCGATTAATACGTAGAAATAAGGAATTAAATTGTGAGCTCATGGGGACAGTGAAAGAGAACCTAACACAGTCATGTATATCCAATGAAACAGAACTCTTCCCCAAGCCTCCTGGTTGTCTGCTGTTCACAATCTGTAAGTTCACCTTCTTGCCCCAGGCACGGATGATTTCCTTACCAAAGGTACTGACCAAGCTTCCCTTGTGTGTTGGGAGTTGCCTGTGATAGGATACAGAAGAGATGAGGTGTGACTTCTGCCTTCTGAATGCTCATCTCTAACAAGAAAGAAATACAGAATTTTTCAGATGTAGAACAATCATGAGAGTGCTGTCTCTCTCAGTCACTCCACTCCCAAGCATGCTTTTTGTCAAACTCAAATATTCAAAACAAGTAGACTTGGACATATACATTTGTACATATTTAGCTTTCTGTGCACTGCTGAACCTAGCCTTTTAACACACATGACATACATAAAGTCACTGTAGGCAAATGATATTATCCAGAGAAGAAAACAGTTGCATATGTTAAGAATAAATTGTACCACCTGTTTGTATTCTATTTATTTTGTTCTGTGTCTAAACTTGTTATTCTTAGTTATAGTGTTTTCCCAGGTTGATTATATCATAAAGTGCCATAAAATTTTGTTCTTTGCCTACATATCTTTCTGACCATCTATCTATCTATCTATCTATCTATCTATCTATCTATCTATCTATCTACCTATTTATCTATCTATCTATCTATCTATCTATCTATCTATCTATTATCTATCATCTATCTATCCTTCCATCTATTTATCATCTATCTACTTACCTACCTACCTGCCACCCTAATTGATGGAACTGACGAGGATATCTCCAGGAAGTATGCAATTTTGACCTTAAGTTTGAGCATTTCCTATCTGTCATGTGGATATTTTTTTTTTTTTGGTACTTTTTTATTTGTGTTTTTATTGTGTTTCTTTTAAGGGAATCTCCTCAGAGTGCTATGCTAAAATACCTTGTTAGGGTTGTCTAGAGAACTATTAGGGAAATAGTTCTAATTTAGATATACACCTTCCTAGTCATTGTATAAACAGTTCCACCCTGAGATAAATGTGACTATCCCTTAGATTCAGAGAGAGAGAAATCCTCACTATGCCCCAAGCATTTGTACTCATTATTTTGTGGTGGTGCATCAAGAATTAGAGGTCACTTACAGCTCTTAACAAGCAGAAACACTCAGTATTTATCATTAGTATACAAATGGACTTTGGGAGCCAATTCCACATAGAGGGATACTCTCTCAGCCTAAACACATGGGGGAGGGCCTAGGCCCTGCTCAAAATGATATGATAGACTTTGAAGATCCCCATGGAAGGCCTCACCTTCCCTGGGGAGCAGAAAGGGGATGGGATGGGTGTTGGAGGGGCAGGGAAGGAGGGGAGGGTGAGGGACCTGGGATTGACATGCAAAACAAGCTTGTTTCAAATTTAAATTAAAACACTTACCATAAAAAAAATCAGAAACAGTGATGCATGCAAGCCTGAAATGGAAGAATAATACCAGAGTGTAAATAACTACAAAACCCATAACAAAACAACTATACAATGTAGTCTTAAACATAATACCATGAGTCAAAATAAACTGAAAATTAAAATACAATTACAAAAGAAAATAAATTATATTATAGTCAATATGAAAGGCATCTGCATGTGTGCATGTGTGTGTGCGTATGTGTCTGCATGTATGTGTGTATACATGCGCTCACACATGCACACATCCTTACATTTGAGTTCGGGTATTTCCTATAGTACTCTCTGTCTTATGTGACATGATATCTCAGTAAGACCCAGAGCTTGCTCTTTTCACTAGCTGGCAATGAGCCCTTACGGCCCACCTTTTTCTGCCTCCTATTCTGCTTCAGCCATTGCTAGTATTGCAGGCTGCTCTACATGACTTTATTGTGCACTGTGGATATGAACCCAGGAACCTCAACCACCATCTCCTCACCCATGGTGCCTGAACTTTTAACTGCTTCTCCTTATTTTTCCTTTCCTTTGCATCTCACTGTACACGCTTGGGGTGGAACACAAGGCTCACATATACCAGGTATATACTATACCCAGCCCTTAATTTTCTCATTAACTGGTACTTACAGCTCAGTATTCTATAAATTATGCCTGGAAAGTTGGCACTGAATTCATAAAAGACAATTTATACAGTCCTGGTATTAATCATGAAGATTATTTAAGTTGAGAGTAAATCAAGACTTCAAATCTACAAAGACAAAAAGTTGCTTATTAAACTATATTAAAATAATTTGGCTGGAGCACAATCGACTTGTGTTTAAAGACCAATATTTTTTTTTTTCCTCCTTTTTCACTAAATAAAACATAATGGGGGAAAAAAGTAATGCTGTTACTCATAGAGCTTGTCTGGCCACTATGTATCACACATAGATGTAATTAATCACCAGTTCTGTTATGTATTAGACAATGTTAGCAACTGTTGCCCTTTGCATCTCTAGTTGGGGACTTACAAGAATAGTGACACAGCACAAGGTATAAGATTTTTCTGATTGAGAGGAAAAATAAGTGGGGATGAAGACACTTTGTCATAAAGATGAAAACAAAAAAAAAAATCCTTATACAAAACTGTTTTTTTTACATAAACTTCTGTAATATTTTAATTTTTCCAGTATGAGTTTTCTCCAGTGCAAAATGTTATGATTAGGGCCAAGGAGATGGCTCAGTTAGTAAAGTACTTGCCTTGCAAACATGAGGACCTAAGTTTGGATCCCTAGCACAAAACCAGACCATACCCGAAACCAACTCCCCCACCCCCCAAAAGTCACTAGAAAGGGCAGCATATGTAAACCCCGACACTATGGGAGGTGGGGTCAAAGACAGGGGATTCTTGCAGCCCACCTGCCAGCCTTTCTTGTCATCTCCAGGTTCTGTAAGTGGTCCTGTCTCAGAAACTTAAGTAGAGAGTGACTGTGGAAGATGAACAATGTCAACCTCTGGTTTCCACAGGCAGGCACACACCCACCTACCGTCAACTCACCAACCAGCCATATGGAAATCGGTGATCTATAAAACATATAGCAAATGGCATAAAGCTCAACAAAGATGATGGGAGAGAAGATGTTTTTATGATTTAAGCTTAGGGGAGATTAAAGAATGCAGGGAAATCCTTCCTTCCTGCAGGGTGGGTGGGTGAGAAGAAATTGCTAAGAAACCAGCCAGAAAAAAATCAAGAGCTCATGTCCTCACCACCTCACCCTGACTTGTATTGTGGTCACATGTCATTAGGGTCACTGTCTGGAGCCCTTAGAAGAAGGCTGGCCAATGGTTCTAATTTAGTTCCATCGAATGTGTGCAAGGGCTGGAGAGGGGAGATTGTGCAAGCAAGGAAGGCTGAAACCTCTTCCCAAGGAAGTTCTCCTTCCGGGTCCTCAGCTTTCTCTTTTTCTGCTGAGTACTTCACTATCTTAAACACATGGCGAAAAAGTGAACAGTGGTCATGCACCTGTTCACTATTACGTTCTATACACTTGTCATGTTTCTTTTGACTTAAAGTATTGTTTCTTGGGGATAACAAAAGCCAAATAAATACTTGCTAGTTTCATCCCAGCGTGAAGTTTACTCATACTGTGTTTTCTTACAGGACATTAAAAATAATAAATTAAACATATAAAGCAATGACAATATCTAAAGTGATTGTGGAGCTTGTTCATCCTTTATAATTTAACCAGACAAAATATTTCAGAATTTGGAAAACTGAATTGTCCTTTTAGATATCTCAACCCCCCTCCATTGTTCCAGAAGAAATCTAACTACATAGGTAATATTTGCAGCCGTTTCCATTAACTGATTCATCTCTTAATAGGTAATTAAAACTCCTTTGCATTTGGATGATCAAAAAAGCCATGAGAGCCGCAGGCAGCTTTCTCCTGAACATCCTGTGTGCTTAATGGCAGAAGCAGAGAACACAGAATTTGATTTGGATAATACAGCTGGCCCTTCAAAGAGAGAAGCCCCGGGAAACATTCATGCTGCAATGGACAGCTCCATCAGTTCTTCTCAGGGTTGGTTGACTTACTTTCTTCAGCATTCCAATACAGTGTTCTGAACTGTGTCATACTAAATGAAACTAATTAAGAGGTATTTATTTTCTAAGGATGCATTTTCTAGACTAAGCCACGTAGAGAGACTATAACCAACACCAAGCATATTAGTTTTCACATTTCATTGTCTATTATGCAAATAAGCATAAAAGTACTTCCTGGAAACACATTCTATTCTCCATGACCCCATTGTTTATAGACTATTTTTTTTCAGTGCATTTTGAAAGTGTAGGGTTATTTGGCTTCTTTTGGATCTTCTGTCTACAATTTCAACGTTTTTGCGTATGTTTTTGGGAATAGTAATAAAAAATGTAAGTACAAATGATAAAATATTCTCAGGGCAAAGTTCACAAGTGGTATAGTTTATGCTGTGGAGCTTTGTGTTTGAAGATTGGTTGTATCAAACACTGGTTATATCAGGTTTTGGAAACAGTGAATTTTCAGAAGAGCCACTTTTGAAACTATTTGTTTGTAGTAAAATGTTATTACCTTTACCAAAGGTTTTAGTTGTGGGTTTCTGTAAATGGATTGATACTCTCACAGTACATAATGTTTGTCTACCCACCAAGGTGTGATGGAGTGGCCGATATTGCAGTACTAGCAGTCACCGTATCATGGCAAGGAGTGGCACTCATACTAATTACCAGTGGGAAACTCTATAGTGAGCATTTTCTTTGAAATTATCAAATGGTTTAATTACATGGTAAAGAAAATAACATGACACTTATTAATAGTCCATCCTCTACTTTGGCAATTCTATTTTTGCTCTATTTCTTTTATATAAGTTCTTTTTATTTTACCCTCCTAATCTTCCATGTCCTCCTTCTTCCTCTGTGTGTGTATTTGTGCATGTATGTATGTATGTGCATACATATGTGCATGCATATATAGATTTGCATGTGTGTATGGATGTGTGTGTATGCATGTATGTATGTGTGTGTTTGCAGACATGTATGTGGGAGGTTATACGTGTGTGTGTGTGTGTGTGTGTGTGTGTGTGTGTGTGTGTGCATGTGTGTGTTATAGAGGTCAGAAATAAACACTGGGTATCTTCACTGATGACTTTCCCCATTATAATTATTATTGTTGTTGTTTCTCAAGATAGGGTTTCTCTGTGTAACAGTCCTGGATGTCCTGGAACTCACAGAGATCTGCCTGCCTCTGCTTTCTGAATACTGGGATTAAAGGTGTGTACCACCACTGCCTGGCTTCCACCTTAATTTTTGAGGCAGAGTCTCTCCCTGATTGCACTTAGACTGGCTGGTTATCAGTGAGCTCTGAGTTCCTTCGCACTCACTCTGCTTCCATCAGCACTGAGATGATAGACACCTGCCACCGTGTCTAGCTTTCTTTTTAATATGGACCCTGGGGAATCAGCTGAAGGGCTTTATGCTTCTGTGGCAAGTACTTTCCCCTTGAGAATCCAGCTAACCTGAAAACATTCACTAGACATAGCCTTTTGAACCACCTACCCCCAGAGCTGTCGGAAACAAAGCCTTTGCTTCGCAGCTTTAGCAACTCTAGTGGAGCCACAGGAAATTCAGAGACACTGGCAGTCTAAGATTTTTAAAAGAGAGACACTGTCAGAGCTCCTCCCAATGCTTGGAGAAATAGAAAGAGAATGATTGTGACACCATTGGACCAAAAAGAAGAGAAAGCATGGCATTGATTTTGCTTAAATATCAGGTTCAAAGGTCAACTCTGAAGTCATTGAATACTGTAAAATGTGTACGCTTGTAAAGTGGATTTCTTTTCTTTTTCTTTTTTCTTTCTTCCTTTCTTTCTTTCTTTGTCTTTTTAGTGTAACACAGTCTTAACTTTTAACACAGTGGGTCTGACTTTACTAATGATATTTCGTGACACTGATATTTTTATCTACTTTTAGAATACTGAGTAGATTAGAAGTAATTACTTTTGGATCATTTTTCACCAGATCCTTCTTGCTTTCTCATCTTTCCTGAGGCAATGTGGCTACATTCCCTAGATGGACCACACCATGCTATAAACTTGTATTTTAGTGCATTTTCTCCAGCTGTCCTCAAAGAGGACAGGTGAACCTTGGAAAAGAAGAATGCCAACACATTTAGTGAGCAAATACAGGATGTATAAATAGGGAGAATTTCTTATGCTTTGCGTTAGGAAAACCTGATTATTATTTTGCTTTGTTTTGAGCTGAGAGACTAATGTCATGTTCAAAGACAGAAGAGGGGCTGTCTCCTTCTGTCTCAAACAGATTTATACAAAACCAGACACGGAAATTTTTTCCTAGGACATGTCTCCTTTATTGCTTACTTTTATTTTTATTTCTTTCTTTCTTGAAAGCTCCTAAGCTTATTATTAGTGGTTAGTGGTTAATATCTCCCATGGGCTTGTCTTCTATTATACCAGGGCTGTGATACAGTACACTGTATTTTTTTTTTTTTTTGCCACTGATGTGTTGTTAAGAGATTTAATAATGGGTAAACAATCACATGTGGCATGGTAATTCATTTCAAATTAAAAGTTTATTAAACCCTGCCTTGATGACTTTCTGGATATTTACAACTAAAGGAAGGAGTGTGAGGAAGTTGTGGCCACGTGGTATGCTCGTGGCTGTAAAGTCCCTACCTGAAAAATGTGCTCATGATCTTCTCCAAGTTGCCCTACCTCCATAGGCTTCATATGCAGTCTGTCAAATCTGCTCTACTGTCCCCAAGTCATACAGAGGAAGTTCTCATGTTCCCTCAAAAGTGTACTCAGTCTTTCCCAAGAGGATTTTGCACTTAGTCTATAGCTGATATTTTCAACCGTGATCAACTTCTTACCACACGGATACCTGGGAGCAGGAAATGTTTAGGAAAGGCTGGAAGAAAATATCTATGATATAAATTTTATGATCGCCACCTTTCAAGTTGTTTACTTTTAAGGATAATTGCTAGAGAAATGGTGACTGTGTTTGACAACTTTGTTTTGCATATGGCTATCTTGCAAGAACAGTGGTTCCTGGCAAGTTCTGGGGATGCTATTTTATTCTGCATTCAGGAGCATTCTGTTGTGCAGCCATGATGAACAAACCACACTGCTATATGCAGTGGAGTTGTTAGCCAAAAGTGTCCACTTCTTGATCTCCAGAGGTTTACTTGAGCCCATCTGCTCCATTATAATACAAGCATGTATGTCTGCATGGCTAGTGGGTGGGATGGGCTCTCCCAGCATCTTTTACATAAACAAATAACAAAACTTCTTGGGAAGAATCCAAACCCACAGAAGAAATAAGTGTAAGTGTCTAAATAGCTATGTAGTTGCAAGATGATAGAATGATTGTAAGAAATATGTGTAGTCAGTGAGTCATATTTGTGCTCTCTCTGGATTGGTTCCATACTGTAGAAGAAAACTGATTTTAGGGTATAGATATTATATTAGACCTCTCTCTCTCTCTCTCTCTCTCTCTCTCTCTCTCTCTCTCTCTCTTTTCCTCCTAACACTTCCCTGTCAATTCTTATAAATTATATCAACTAGAAGAGGAAACAAAGAACCATTGTTGATTATAATAGAGTCTTTGACATCTGAAGACCAGAATTAGGATTTTTCCATTCTACAGTGCTATAGAAACATTAAGCATTCAATAGAAATTGTCTGCCTAGTACTAAATTGATGTTTTCCCAGGCTAGTGATGGAAAGCATGACTCTTTCTCCTAACAGTGGACAACAGCATGGAGTCAGAGGAGAAGTCAGTCTCATGGTTATGAGGAAAAACTACCATACTCTAGGCCTTTTAAATTCCCTTTTACAGGATATGTTTAACTTCAGCTGGATTTCTCAGTGCATGACACCATCATTAGTCCAGGAGCACTGGTACTTCATGGTGTACCCCCCATTGCAGAAGACAAGCAGCTGATAGTACATAGACTTTCAGTATAATAAGAGACCACCCAACATGGCTAGAATAGGAGGCATTGTCAAAGTCAAAAAGCAGCCTTGTTGAGCATTAAATCATGTAAAAATTGAGTAATACCAAATATATATTTCCTACACTACAGTTAAATAAAATTAATGGAACAATAAATTGTGTCCACACATTAGTCTCCTGTAGAGCTGTTAATACACATTGACACCTAGACTCTGCTCACACCTGATGACTCCAAGTCTCTAGGGTCATCTCCTTGACATTGTTACTGTTAAAAAAAGTCTTTGGACTCCAAATCAAGAAAGATGGAAGGTTTCTGGGGCATGGTAGTACATATCTATAATCTCACATGAAGGAGGAAGAGACAGGTGGATCAGGAACTCAAAGCCAGTTTTGGTTACATAGCAAGGTTGAGGCCAGCCTGAGTTACATAAAACCTGTCTCAAAAACAAAACAAAACTAAGCAGATGTCTGATAGGAAGCTATTGATAATCCTGAGTTTCTTTTTTTCCTTGATATAGGGGAGAGGGTTTGATCTTTGGTTATTCTTTAATTTTATGGTATCATGAAGACTCCTTGCCAACTAGCTTTAAATTTTTTTCTTTAAGAAGCCCAACTCAGTGCTGACTGACCCCAGTGTCCTTTCTCTTCATTAAAGATAGGTATTCATTTGCATGTTTGGATGACCAACCTCATGAGAATTGACTAAGTCTACGGGGTCTATGCTGTCCCTGGCACAAAGCAATTGTTCAATTAAAGACTTGCTAAATGAATAAATTAATTCATTTGTTAGGTAACTGTTGACTAACATATCTAAGAAGGAGATAAGACTTATTTTCATTTGATAATGGCATTCTAGGAGTAAGCAAGGAAATATGGAGTCAGAAACAAAAAATTGTTGAAAATCTTAGTTTTCTACTGACTACAGTAGAACCACTGGGAAATAGCACATGTCTATTTAACTCTGTATGGACCTCCCTTTCTTCCAGAATGTCCATACTTTCCTGCATCTGCACCAACTACACAGCAGCTTCAGTTGCCCAGCATCCTCACCCACACCATGTTCCCATTTTTC